AAAAAAAAAAAAAAAAAAAAAAAAAAAAAAAAAAAAAAAAAAAAAAAAAAAAAGAGAGGATATTATGGATATAACATATCTCAACTGCTTCCAAAACAAAATCAAGCATTTAGGCATTAACAATCTTTCTAAGATTTGAATGTATATTAAAGTGTGGAACGTTTATATTTGAACCAAATATGTAAAATTTATAATAGTAATAATTTACCTCAGGAGACATGAAAGCTCGATCAGGATCATCCACAATGGGAGAAAGGGTTCCATCGTAATCCAAGAACACCACAATCTTCTTCCTCGGTAGCTCTTTCATTATGCTCTCAAACGATTCCAAACCACTGGGATATTGTTTCTAAGACACGGTAATCAACATTTAATAACCCAGAAATATAAAAGAAAAAGAAAATTTAAAATTTAATTTCGTACCAGCCATGAAGTGTAATTGTGAGAATCGGAACCTTGTACGGAGTTCCGGTGACCGGAAAGCCGGCCGGAGAGTCCCATTATCGATCTCCAGAGCACTGTGCGGCGGAGGGCGGGAAGACCGAAAGTGAAGGGAAGGAAAATTAGGAGCAGGGATTTTCCTTTCAGCAAAACATGGCTAAAAAGAAGAGAGAAGTTCATCGTTGCTTGTGTGTTTTTTTTTTTTTAAAAAAACTGAGGCAATTTGGAGAAGGTGGAGGGCTCTCTGTTTGTTCGGTGGGGGTATTTAAAGGGGAAATTTCATAAAGTTCCCTTTTATCTATTCGGCCACGTTTCGAGCTGATGTGGCTATTTTAGTAATTTACTTTCATTTCTAGTCAAACCTAGGTCTGATTTTATTGTTTATTAATGCCTTTCTTCACAAAATGGTCCTCCTCTAAAGGGAGACATTCTGGTACTATTTTTTATTTTTTATTTTTACTTTACAAAGTACATAATATATTTATTAAAAAAAAATGAATTTGTTTCTAATACAGACAAACACTTTTAATTTAAAATGAAAACTATGTTATAAATTATTGAATTAAAAAATATATTAAATAAATGAATTACTATGTATAAAACAGGTTAAAGTTAAAATAAAAAGAAAATAAAAAAACTTACTAACCAATCTATTATATCTTATATTTGGTAAGTTTGGAGGAGTTTTGAAACCAACATGCCAATAACACTCTCTACAATGTGCTCTGGAAGTTTTACCAGCTTTAATTTCACTCCCTTTTTTAAACATAAGTAAATAAATAAAATTTCAAATGTAAAATTAAAACTAAAATAGATATAATTATAAACAAAACTACAAGCTATGTATTTGACGGTTTTGTGGGGTTCTTCATGTGAACAATTTTGTCTTTTCAACAATATTTCACTAAAATCTAAAATTATATTATTGTTTCCCTAATTTACAGTTCAAAATACAATAATATGACCAAAAGGTCCGGTTCGGTCCTCCATTTTGGTCCAAACCGAACCGTTCACACCCTACCTACTCCATTGCATGGGCTCATATTTTCTTTTCTTTTTCTTTTTCTTTTTTCTAAAAAAAAATCCTTTGTTTTTTTTTTTTTTTTTAATGTTTAAAACATCTTATTTCTAGTTTAATTTTCTTATTAATTATTTACACATGGGGTCACATATGTTTGGTTGGGCTAATTAGTTTATAAACGTTATATTTAAAATGCAATTTGTTGATATAATTCAGTAAAAAATCTTAGTTTTATTTTAAGAAATTGGAACTACAATTATAAATTTTATAGATTAACTACTAATTAGCCCATGCATTAGTCGATTACCATCCCCAACACATCCAAACAAAAAGTATATTCAATTTAGTTCCTTATTATCCAAATAAGATATTAAAATTTTTAATTTTTTCAACTAATTTTAAATTAAAATAATGGATGAAATTACAATTCCTTAATCAATTAAAATACGTTTAAACAAAAGGTAAAATAAGAGAATATTTGAAAATTAATAAATATTTAAAAAAAATATAATTTA